ACTGAACATTTGCTCTCACTTTGCAGAAAACATATGGGGATATATATCGTATATCGATATTCAGGCTAAATATATGGGGATGTGACTTTTGGTCCATATCGCCCAGCCCTTGTGCTCATAAGTTATCGGTTGATGATGGGAAATGGATATTGATATGTTGATAATACAGTTATAGCCATTTTATTTTGAATTCTAATGCAAAATGTTTGATGCTTTATGTTCTATGAAAGCCAATATGTTTGTGAAGTTTTTTTAATGTACTTCACACCAAAAACTAAAGGACCATTTGAAGAGTGGGAACTGTTGTTTTTTTTGTGTAAACAACAATAGTTTGTCAGAGCTGTGGAAACATAAGTCACCCATCTTTGCTAACTACAGCTTAACCTTTCTTACCTTACCAACAATTGGTTGTCGACTATTAAATTAACCGCTAACTATTTTGATAATCGATTAATCTGAAAAAATCTCCAAATTCTCTGACTTCGGTTGCTCAAATGAACATTTTTCACAATTTTCGGACGTTTTATGGATCAAACAAGTAATCGATTAGTTGAGAAAATGATTGACAAATGAACCGATGGGCTGCAGGCGCGCCCGGATAGCTCACCTGGTGGCGCTCTGTGTGCAGGGGCTGGGTCCCTGCTGCAGTGGTCACAGTTTGAGTCCAGCCTGCCACAGGTTTGAGTTCTCACCAGTGGCCCTTTGCTGCATGCCTTTGAAATTGTGCAAAAAACACAAATGTACCATTGAAAAAATCCCCTCTCTCTTCCCCTTATCCTGAAAATCTTCAGCTATCCTATCTAAAAAGGAAAAAAGAGCCATGTTTGCATAAAATACCGGTTATGAACTTCTTTTTAAAATATAAATGTGTGAAATGATTGGTTATCTTATACGTATTGGCCACGAGAAGCAGGTATCTATCAGTTATAGTGGCTATTTAAAAAAAATCCTTATTGTGACGTAAATCCAGAGAAAAAACCCTGGTATGAAACATGGCAGCTTTTAGCTTCCAGCCTCTCAAAATACAACTTATGAGTGTGTGGGTAAAAGAAAATAAGAGTGAAAGCAGCTGTCTCTCCCGGTGTAAAGGGCAGAGTCTCTGAGCTGCTGTGCCCTCCTTATGAAAAGAGGTCAACCATCCTCTACCTCACGCTCTGTGTCTCTTCATTGGCAATGTAAATGAAAGGGAATATAAATAAAGAATTGGTGGGTTATTAGCACCGTGGCTGCATGCAAAGTGTTGAGATGAGGTGCTGTTAGAATGAGCAATGAACAGAGGAGAAAATAACCCCTGTCAGGTTAAAGAAGGGCACTGTGGGTAGAAATCCGTCCTGTTTGTCTCGTCTGTCAGTCAGTCATTGCGGTGAGAGTCACATCTTTAACGGTCCAGGCCAGGGACAAGCCTATGGCATTGTGGTCCCCTGCATGTTGGCTGTGATGATCCACTCGTGCAGTGAGCCCCGTGCAGCTCCTCAACCCGCTCATCATACCCAGTTAGAAGAATGAAGTCATGCCTAACGCTGCCGCTGTTGCCGCTGTAGCCAGAGGAGGACAAAGTTAGCCAGCTGATCTGTGATCAGTCCTACCGCTTGGCGCTATAGGCAGCGCATTGACCTCAGCCCAGATACCCGGGGCCGGGGATGTGGGCCTGCTGTGTCACTGTGGGATTATCTCCAGCTGAGCTCAGATCCAATTGGAGTAAGAGCATGTGAAACATGACAAGTGAAATGATCTAATGAGAAGGTGTTCAGAGAGGACAGAGGGGACTGCAGGGCCATAAAGTACACACAGCAAGCAGTGCAGCAGTACTGCACTATACAGACAACTGTCACAGTGTTTTCAGTCATTTTCAGCAAATATTCAACACACAATCAAACATGACATGATAACCATACTGTTAGAATGGCTCTTTTCAATCAGCTGAACTGGTTGGTTGGGAAATGACAACTTTCAAAAAAAGTATTTGCCAAATGAGTTTACTGTGTAAAATAGCACAAACTAATGCTGAACTGCTGTTAAAATGCCCACAGTGTAATGTGAGGTCTTGAAACAGTCCAAGCCCCCCAGTCCAGGGATTCTGTGTGTGTATTCATACCAGTGGATTGGTTCATTTGATCCAGACACATGATACATTGTTGTAGTGGTGGTCGTTCCTGGCCACACTGACTTTGTACAAACTAACCAAGAGGGGGAACATGAAGCTATAGAGTAGCTCACTTGTGATTGTCATCCTGCATCATCAGGACCCACAGAATCCACTTCCACTGACTCACACATTATACAGCACTTTGAGGCTTCTGATGTGTGTACTTGTTCTTTGGTGTCACAGAGAGCTCAAAGAAGTGATTGTAAGCATTATTTGACTGCACATTGGCAGCGTGTTATGAATTCTAACTAACAGGTAGAGACAGGACGAAAAAGGACAGCAATGATGTGGGGCTTATAACTGTGGGACTGCTGTCACACTCTCTTTCATGGTCTTTAGCCTTTGAAATCGAGCTAAAAACACAAATGTAGCAGCACAAAATGCTGGTGGTCGGTCCGCTTGCTTTCACTCCACAAATGAAACCGCTCCAGGGTTTGACTGGACCACAGTCGACACCACCCTTTCTGGGTAATCCCAGCCAGCTTGTGTTTTCTCCTCTCCGAGTGAGGTTGCTGTGTTCACATGTGCCGACGCACATATAAAAAGCCCTCCTGGTGTCAACAACTGAGCTCCAAATGAGTCACGTGTGAATACACCCTATAATAATGTGAATTAGTGCAAGCCAGAAATCATGATCAACAACTGATCAATGAACTGATCAGTTGTTTGAGAAAGTGTCAAACATCCACGTCTCAAGATAGTGAAATTCTTGTTCAGGGGGAACCCTACTCAAAAAGAATTCATTTCAGACCAATTGCATAAAAAGCAGGAATCCAGCATTGTGAGAGAGGTTTGAACAGTTAGTATTGTTTACCAGATCAATACATTAGTGACATATACTGATTGTACGCCTAGTTCTCTTTGTTTGCATTTAATTGGTGAAGTTTTTGTCCAAAAGAAACTTGTTTCTTCTTCTGTTTGTGTGTGTATTCTAATTGACCTTTTGTGAATGATAAATGTGCCTGAGGCTGTTTGATAGACTGGTGGATGGGGAAAAGACTGGAGGGAAAAAAGAAAGGTTGACAGGGAAGAGAGAGAGAATAGAAACAACCTTGTCTGAGGGAGAGCAGTGATTGAAAAGGAGAAAGCATGCAGCGTTCCCCCCGCTCTCCCCACACTCTCATTAATGCCTCTGACCTCGGGGCTTTTAGCTCTGGCTGTCTGAAGATGCATATGTGACTGAGTTACAGCAGGCTTCTGATGGACTGGAGCTGCTTAATCCTGAAACACTTGGCATCCTTTAAAGGAAGGTAGAGACTGTCAGCTCCATGATACCACAGCTTTACAGTGACAGCAGCCTACTGTTGTGCTACAGAAGGAAAGAAAGATCACTCCTCATAATACGGGTGTAAAACATGATGAAAAAGAGTGGTCATCACTTCATAGTACTAGTACACCATGGCTACATACAACAACAAGGGAATGTACGGGCTGCTGGCTCCGCTGTGAGGACAATGTGAACCTTTTCACAGAGAAACTAACCCATATGCCGGAAAATTTAGAAGAACCTCCGGGCGACGGATTTGGAAAATCAAAAAAGGAAGGGCCGCCATTGGTTACCTTTCTTCTTTCTCTTTCTAGTGCGGTAGAATAGCAAACAGTTGTGCCACTCTGTTTCAGAATACTGCAACTAGTGTCGCGACCACCAGCGGCAACGTATAAATAGTTACGGCGCTCCCGTGACGTCACGCGACAGGTCGGCAGCGGCGAGTCTACATGGCGCTTTAGACGGCGCTGCCTCCTGCCTCACACACCGTCCTATATGATTCTCTCTGCTTCATTTCTACAGTTTGCTGGGAGGGAGAGAGTTAGCAGAATTTAGGTTAGTCACACTTTGAATAGAGCAGGTGGTCAGAAACACGACCCCCAGTGAATGATAATGCAGTCGCTCCGTAGCTGCTGGACATGTAAGCAATCAACTTACATGTTCACAACTTGTTCACGCTGTATCCCAGCGGCCAAACAAATGAGTTATTGCAGGGTTAGCTGAAAATCTGTTGAAGGTATAGTTCTCTGTAGTGTTGTTGAAGTGGGGTTGGATGAGGTACGTATCTATAGTGAGTGTATTTGCGACAGTAGATGGCAGTGAGCAGGCCCCCAGCCTGGAGAATCACACAGGGATTATAGCAAAGAGTGGAGCAGCACAGGACAGGCTCTGCAGAAAAACCTGTTTCAGACACATAACAACCCACCTCCAAAATCATACGCTGTATGAAGAATATTTGTGATCAGCTGTTTGGCTCAGGAAGATCAGATCAGACTGAAATCAAACACATCATGTTTCTAATGGGTTCAAAGATGGACCCAAACAGCTGCTCTATGGCATACTATAGTAAGAGTTCAATAACTAAATGCATTGTTCTTCATTCAAGCATCAATTTTCCATGCCACATTCAAATTCAGTCCCAGCACAGACATAGTGCCATCCATTGTTGTTCAGCACAGGCCAGCACCTGCCAATATTAACATTTGTGGACTTTTTGTTGTTGCAGACACTTGGTAATGTTGACTGTAGCCTCGACACAATCAATGTGCTGTAGCTTTGTAACGCTGTTGCAACGTCAGCACCACTTTGATTAAACAGGCCAGAGAAAGGTCCTTCTCTCTGAGAGAGAACAGCAGAGTGAGGCAGACTGCAGGCTGCTCTCACACCGTCTGCAAGTCTTTAAAACCCTTCTCTGTATCTACACAGGATATGTTTAGGGTCTGTGCTGAGTGTAGGTCACCCCTGTTTTGGCAGCAAAAACTTGAAATTGCACTTTTGGATCATTTTGTGTTCTCATAATTGATCAGGAAATGTGATTCTGAAAAAGTATGACTTCATGGCCCAGGTGTAACAGTGACTGGCTGTACACGAGCTGTGTTGAGAGTGCCAGGACAGAGGCAGCAGTGTGTGCTGTTGCTGCTGGGCTCAGTGACCGCTCTGATGGTCACATGAAGCTGTGTCTTAATCAGATGAAGCTGGTTTAGAGCCCCGTGTTACTCACAAACACTTCATGAATGAATGATGGAAGACTTGGATTGAGCATGTGTGTTTCTCTGGAACACTGTATCAAATATTAACTATGCTACTCGGTGCACTGGGGCATACCGCAGGGTTTGTTTGGCCTATCCATTGCATCTAGCGGAATGAGTGAGTGAGTGAATAGAGCGAAGAGATGGAGAGGAAAACAGCAAGGCAAACAGAATGGATTGGTGGACGAGCGAGGAGCAAGTGGAGTGGCAGTGAGAGAGAGCGAGAGGTAAATATGAGAGGAAGCTGGAGGTTGAAGCGGCGCAGAGCATAACTCCTCTCAGCCACGGTGACACACAGCACAGTGGCAGTTGATGTTGGCTTCACTGAATGGAAGCTTTGTGAAGGGCCTGTGCAGGAATACCTGTGCATTTGTTAATCATTGTCAGATTGACTCTGGTATCCAGGCTGCAGCATGGAGCTCTGTGGACACTGATGGCTCTACAGAACCCAGTCCTCTTTACCATCATTTAAGGTGTGACTGACAATCCTTCAGTATGAGTCATGTTTTAAGCAGAATTTGCTGCTTGTAGCCTCACAGCTTTGTAATTAAGCTGAGTTGAACCTCTTTGGGCAAAATGAGCCAAGCTCTCATATTGTCAACATTTTCACTATTTTCTAATTCATTTTGTGGATATATTGATTAATCCACTAAATATTCAATAGATTAAAGGTGGGATAAGCGATTCTTTTTTACATACAGCAAACATCTCCACACGGTCTGCTAGCTTTCTGCTCTCTGTGTGCAACCGTGGCTCTGTAAAGTGGAAACAAACAGAGGGGATCGGACCGAGCCACACAACACTAAGGATTTGTGTGTTTGGTGACGTTAATGACTTGCCCACAGTTTGTCAAGATCTGCTGCTGTTGTGATGTTAGGTACAGCAGCAGGAGAGTTGTGAGTGTGGCAGTCTGGAGCTGCCTCTGGGAAATAACAGCAGCAACAGTAGTGACAGTTTGCCAACCCAAAACATAGCTAAAGTTAGTTAGGTTACTTGCTGTGCTGTTGCTCACTCTCTATTATGGTATCTGACATGGTACTGGATTTTCCACACTCACCCATCTTTGAGCTCTAATGAAAAGAATGGTTGGTTGCAGCCGTGATCTGTACATTTGCTTGTTGGGAATGTCCTTTTGTCTATGCATGTGTTATATTTTGTGTCTTACTAACACCATCAGTGGAACAGCTCAAAACCATCTGCAGGGTTATGATACCATACATGTGCATTCATCCATTGTCCAAGATAAATACACAGTAACTCCACAGGGGACCTTTCTGACATAAGACATGTAGAGCATAATATATCTAAATCTGATTTTCATTGATCGGCAGTGGTGATGTACAGATACATCAGGAGGGCTTCCACCTACATCTTTTACATCATTTCAGTATTTGTCAGATGAAACATGCTTCAGAAGAGCTGCTGAAAACAACACACTGAAAGTATTTCTAACATGTATCTAGTTGGAAACACTGTATGTTTAATGGTTGTTGCTGTTGTCTTCCAGAGATGGGCAGCGAGTTGCCGGGGACAGTAGCGATGCCGGGAGCAGTTGGGGCGGGCCAGGTGAGAATGGGAGGAGCTGTGCCAGGCCGTGGGGGCAAGAGGAGATCAGGAGGGTAAGTATCTTCATCGCTCACCTTGACTCAGCATCATTGCTTACCTGCTGTGGAAATTGTCCACACATGTAATCCTACATCAGTCAACCTAATGTCTGTCTTGTTAGTGCACATTCTCAACCAGGGATTATGCAAGTCCTTCTGTGTAGTTTTTTTTTTTTACATTTGCATTCAAATCTTGAAACAGAGATACAACAGTTTTCCACTTTGCTCCAAATTGACCTGTTTGTAAATACAAAGCAGAATAGGAGCTCTTGTAGTTTATTTCCACTAGGAAGGGACCTTCACACTGCACTACACAATTCACTGGTGTATTAACTGCTTTTTTCCACTGTCTGCATGTTAATTAACCCAACCCAAGCTGAAAAGCGGAAGCGTAAACTTAAGAAGATGCAGGTGCTGCATTAAGTCTGTCTGTCTATCCTACTGACAGGGCACTTTGTGATGGTGCCAAAAATGCAGGCACCGGGCGAGGCTGTGATACTTCCACGTCCACAGAGTTTTAGACAATCCCAGAACATGTGGATTAATGCACCAGTGCAGAAAACCATTGTCCAATCCATTAAAGAATCTGTTAGTCCTATATTGTTGCTGCAGTATTTTATGTCATAGATTCAAATTAGCTTTTGTTCCATATAGGTGATTTTTATTTCTACATATATATATTTACATATCTGTAAGAGCACAGTTGGAGAGAGCCTGAGATCTAAAAACTTTATTGCCAATGAATGCTTCACTGGAATTGTTGTGTACATAATACAAACTTGAATTTGATGCCCAATGGTTGAAGCTCTTGTGACAGTATTGTTTTCTGACACCTAGCAACAGGACGGTGTGTGTCTTTTTCAAGTGTTAAACTCAGTTTAAAGATTGTCCTCTTCATCCACTCTTTTGTCTGTCATTGGAAAAAGAAAGAACAAGAAGCAGTGTGGTGGAGAGCTTTTAGAAAGTGTTTGTTATGAATGGAACCCCATTTGACATGTAAATGGAATTTTAAGATTCTGCTTTAGCTTTGAAGCAATAAAGTAATGAGTTGGATAAACACGGGGGCTGCTTAAGTCTAACATTTTGTGTGTATGGGGGGGCATTGTACATGAGTTCAGTACCTTGTAAATATAATCCTCAGGGGCCAAAGCAGTGCATTTAACCAATGCACGCACATGCATACATAAACATGAATAAATAATACAGACCTGGATTTAGGCAGATGTATGTGTGTGTGTGTGTGTGTGTGTGTAGATGAGGCAGGTTGTAGTTGAGTTCTATATCCCTCTATCCTAAGACAACAACAGACACACAGCTCCCATGGTGCATGAAGCCGTCAGTCAGATCATGCATGCAAACTGAGTAGTGAGAGCAGCTTAGGTGTGGGGGAGGGGGCTTTAGTAAACACACCATACAAGGCATTCACATAGACGTAAGCATCCAGGTTAGAGTCAGCGCTCTCCAGTAAGATGATTTCTGAAACTGACTGTAAAAACAAACCTGGTTTTCCTCATCTTGGTAGGGGATTAGGGAAACCTGATCTTCTAGATTTCTGGCAAAGGTTAGTGTTTAAACAGGTTAGTTTTCAGAAACTTGAATGGCTTTGAAAAACAACTGTTTTATTCGCCTTTCTCTCAAAAATTGCAGCAAACTGCAACAAAGAGTTGGAGTTTCACCCATGTCCTCTAACGCCACCCAACTAAACTCCTGTTTCCAGTGTAGTTACAATGCTTGCTTGCCCTTCAGCTCATAAACTTTAAAATTCTAAAACATGTATTTATTTATTATTTATCCGCCACTATTCCACATTTGCACTGAGTATGTGCAACTCTGAACCCTCCTTAGCCAACTCTGCAGTCAGTTCCGGAGAAAACGGCGCGTTGAATTATTTTTTACCAATTGGGGGCGAGTGAGTTGCTCGGTTTACCGCCAGCAAGTGGCATTTTACTTTCAACAGGCAATCGGCAATGCTTCTAGTTAGGCCCTGTGTGCGCATGACAAAAGACTGCAAACAGGCAAAGAAACCGGCGAGTGAATGATAAACGATACAGTTACTCCATCCACTATCCAACTGAAACTAGCACAAAGTAGCCTGTAGAAGTCGCTAGTTTCCCCTGTTGAACATTTGTTATATTCAGACATTTCAGCGTGATGAAGAAAAGCTCTGCTCTGTCTATCTGTCTGTCCTCTTACTGCTGACACACACACACACTCCCACAAATGCCAGCAGCATCTTAAAATTAGCCTGTAGAAGAACTGTCTTCACACTGCTAAACATTTGACTACTTGTGAAATTCAGACACATTGGTGTTTTGACGTAAAGCTCTGCTCCGTCTCTGTCTGTCCTCTGTGCACTGTGAGCCATCCTTGCAACAATAAGGTCAAGGGTAGGGGAGCAATCGGATTATTGACGTGCTGCGTGTATAGAACCAAGGCCTCATCTGTTCCCAGTGTAGCTGCAAGAAGAGAGGGACTGTCAGTGTTTTACATGGGGTTATTTTCTACTAAAATTGATCTATTTGCACTCAGTAAACAGAGAGATTTAGTCAAGTTAGCTAGCAGTATAATTTGTTCATTTGGTGAAATCATTTAGGGATGCACGCAGTGATGAGAATAATCCAGTAAGGGTTCAAAACTGTACCTGAGAGAGGGTGGCATGGGAGTGAAATCCCAAAATGCATTTCTTCCTGTAGGAACTATGGTTGGCAGCTGCTAGTTGAACAACAGCTAAACGAGAGGGTGGTACTCTTGCTGTGATTAAGAGGATGGGGGTAATTGAGCTGAACAGGGGTAGGCAATATGACAGTTTCACCATTCTGTTGGTATCATGGTACAATGTCTGTGGGTGTGTTGGACCACGGTGGGCAACGTTGCTGATTTATAGTCATGTTGGATTGGATTGGACACTCCTAGTATGTGCTCATTTTATCCACTAATGGTTTCTCAATTGATTTTCCACACCGTGCATTATGTCATAATATATGTTGACATTGTGATATGGAGTTATTCATACTGAGAGAGAGAATCTTTTCTATTTCCCACCTGTAGCACTGAGCCAAGCTATGAGCAACTGGCCCCATTCAAGCCTTGCTGACCTACGGCTCGTTGATGCAGTCACTTGTTTTAGCTGGAACAGTTGTGATGACTGCTGTATGTGTATAATGTGACACACTTGTTAAGAATATTTTTGGAGTTAAAAAGCTAAACAAGATGAGGATGAGTCATGGTAGCCTGCCAGTGAATTTCTCCATTTAAACCTCTGAACTTCTCAACAAGTGGCTCCATAATAGTAATCCAGCTTGATGGTTTCTCTGAACATTTCCATGTTAATAGTCCTCTGTCTACTCGAGGACAATGTATGCAGAGGCACAAACAGGGCGTGCATCGTGCCGCTCCATGTCACGCAGCTCTGCCTTCCATTTCCATCGCCCTTTCTGTTTCCACTACAGTCAGGTTTGCAGTTTATTTTATAAAGCCGTGTTTGTAAAATGTGGCGGCCCACCATGCTGTTACCATACTGCGATGCTTTTTGTACAGTGTTTGCATCTATTAATAATGTTCAAAGTAATTTAAAGCCACACAGCTCCTTCCTGGTCAGATTTACCTTCCTGTCTTTTGCATGTCTGTTCCTGAATTGTTTTTCTCAGAAGCACTGATGTTAGCTTTTTAACCCATCATCATGACACCATGGCTAACTCTTGTCACAGATAGCTGATTTCTAGGGCTGATCCAAATGCTTCAAAGCTTTAACCATTGCCGTGGTAACTGACATGCAAATCAGTATTCAAATGCTGCTTTTCCTTTATGTAGGTTTATAGTGGCTTATTCTACTGTATACATGTATATACTGAAGGCTGTGGTCACAATAGGGTTCCCCCTCAAAATGATACAATATATGAAAGAATCAAAATGTTGCACAAGAAAGAAATAAGTTGCAGCACGACCCACTGCCGGCCAGATAAACACAATAATGTATCGGTTTATGTGTCAGCAGACACAATGAGGAAGTCTAAACATTTAAACTGATGTCTGCCGCTCTCTAAAGTTATCACTGTGGATATAATGTGGAACTTAGTCACGGGAGAGCCATCAGCTCTCAGTCTACTAGAAATTGTAACTGTGTTTCCTGTGGTTGTTTCTCAGAATGGACTTTGATGACGAAGACGGAGAGGGACCTAGCAAATTTTCAAGGTGAGACCACCGAAAGCAGATTGCACCGGTGCTGTCTGAAATGTTTTAGAACTAGTTCACAAAGTCCCACAGTTCCTGATCCAGGGTATCCGCAGGTACGATAAATGAAAGATAGTGAAATGGACATTCACTGCAGTCTTTGAATTAAAAAATGGGTTAATGATACAGTATGCATACACCTTACCAAACTGTAACATAGCATGAAAAAGGTCTTAAAAAGTCCAGATTCGTCTTTGCGAACCCTGCAGATACCCTATGTTTGTAACATTGACTGCTGCATGGACACCTCAGGATTTACTTGTAAAATTGTCTGTTATCTGTTATGTATTCATTTTTTTAAAGAGAGACTCAAGTCCTTCTTTGTCACTGCATCTCAATCGTCCTCTCATATTTAATTTTTTCTCAACTTGTTTTCCTTTTCTTCCTTCTCACATTGTGTAGTGTGTAAGTCTTTAGGACGTACAGTGAGTGCTTTATTTCTGAGCTGACAACAGTGGATTTGTTGCTGTAGTGACAGTGGGGAGGAGGAGCTGCTCTCTGCTGAACACAGGAGGAACTGCACTCTTAATAATTGACAGTAGCAGTACATGTTTGATTTATCTGGCTGCAGGAAAGCCTCACATTCATACTGTGAAAGGGTTTGCCACTGTGCATACACTTTGTATACATGCTATTCCCATAAAATACATAATTCACTGCTGTTTCCCATAGCCAGGAGCTTTAGTTTGCCCTGCCTCTCAGTATGTGACACACAACCCAAACCACAGTGTTTCTGGGGATTGGGGGGGAGGGGTTGTGGTGCACTTAGCATAGATTACATTTCATGCTACAATTTCTAAATTTATTGACATTTGCCTTTTCGTACTCTGCACTGTTTTTAAGTTAGGAGTGACTCTATCATTTTCCAACTAGTGTCCCTGTACTGTAATGGACAGGTGAAAGAACAGTCTGGGTCTTTTCAGGGTTAGTTATGGTTACTTTTATTATTGGCTACATTTATATGCAGCAGTTCTGCTATAACTACGGATGTGTATTTCCATCACTGAGGCAGATGTGATATGCATCTCAATGCATTGCTACGATCCCATACATTAAAGAAACATATAAAGCAATTACCAGTGTGATACGATACAATTCACCCTTATTCGACATGATTTTATTCAACACGATACGATCCAAAGAATATGATGCTATGCAATACATAATGGTACAGATAGTTTGATTGTATTTCTTAGGTTCTTCTTAAGCAGCTTGAGAAACAGTTTAGAGAGGAGGACTCTAAATATAAAATGATTGGTCACATGTTTAAATGATGAAGGCATAGGGCTTCTACTAATAATTATATACAAATAAATAGGATTTTACTGATGACGATGTTCAATCAATGCATCTTGTGTTCATCACAAATTGTATCTGATACACAATAATCACATCTTGAACTGTTCTACCAGTGCACCATGCCTGCTGTAAATTCAGTGTGATATGTACATTCTAACATTAAATATTCAATAGTGATTACATTTTGCAATCAGGTATTTGGTTGCTCATGAGACTCAATTTTCTTTTGCTGTTATTGGCTTCCATAGTACAGTAGGGCAACAACATGAGTGCTCAAACAATTAGACAGGTTGTAAATAAACCTAGTTTGTTTAAATCGGGTGTTTAACCCACTTATTTCCCAATATGTCAATTATGCTCTTGTCGTATTACCTTATTTACTTTACTGTTGTTAGAGTCCATTAATGTCAGCTGTTAAGTTTGTTAGTTAATATAAAAAAAATATGAATTACCACAAATCTAAAAATAAAACCCAGAATGTAAGAAATCATAGTGTTTAGCTTTCCTTACTCAGAGTAGAACAGGAAACCTTTATCACTGCACCAGCCATTGGCACCCTGTTTTGTCCAGTTTTACCCATGTTGTTACTATCAAACTTGAACCATCTGCTCTGTACATTAATATGTGACAACCATTGCATGTGAGAAATGTGAATAGTGAAGCTGCTACGTGATACCATCCACCTGCGCATGTGTACGTTGTGTTACATGCTGTGTCCTCTCTTTTCTGTAGGTATGATGATGATCAGATTCCTGGTGGAGATAAGGAGAGATACGCCAGGTAGGCCTAGCCAGCTGGGGCCGCACAGGATTTTCCATTGACTCAGGGATCAACAGACTGTACAACCTGCCCACTTTACCTATGTTCTGATCCCAATAAACTGAAATACTAACAAAAGCAGATCAGGATAGGGTTAATATGCCAATATATTAGATTAGCATTGGTATATTACAAATTATTTATTGGCCTGTTAGTGTTGATTATTAGTTTGAAAGTTCTTGAAACCACTATTTATTTATTCATTTATTTTGTCAGTGTGCTTTATATCAGATGTCTGGCCACGGAAACCATTCATTCCACTGTGGCGAGGGAGTTCATTCAACACATGTACAGATCACTTTAAGTGTTTTTCTGTGCCAAAATGACTTGATTTCACTCATAGGAGGATTTCAAAGATTATAGCTCACCCAATCTTTTTTTGTACCACTTGAAATACCTTGAAAGAGCCCAAACAACCCACTAAACGCAGCTTTCCACTTGCCAAAAAGTGACATTTTTACATCTCCTTCCTTGTCAGAGAATTTTTTTTTCGTCTCAAAATGACTTGATTGATGGGGGTTATATTTTAATGCTTATAGCTCTTACTACTTTTACCAGTTGAAATACTTGGTGAAAGGTGATTACAAGTAGGATTGGGTGTTAGAAAAGCTGAGATAAAATGGTAAATTGTGTGACCTTGTACATACAGCAAATTACACCAAC